CAGGAATAAAGGGCCAAACACGTGTTCAAAGGTGTACAAAGTTTACGGCATTGTGTTGTTTTTGTGTCCTTATCGTGCAGAACTTTGATGAAATGTGTTTTATGCGTGTTCGCAAAAGTGTTATCTGGCCCTTTTTTTCCTAGTGATAAGGGCGAGCTACGAACATTAGCAAGAGCCTGTGTGATGTGCCATGGTATCTCGAAACAAATGCGCATTCAACGATGACCATGGCCTTAATTTGGGGCTGACAACGCCCCACTCCATACCTGAGGCGCAGCAGATCCGGATATATCAACATTGCATTTTATGGCTCGTTAAATGGTGTGTGGATGTATGTTCTTCAGCTCTGTAAATTTCTCGCAATGGAATTAAAAAACATTATAAATTGGAGCACTGACTGTGGAATATCACGCGTTGATTTTCGTTTCATGAAATGCTCTTCATATTCCTCACATGCAATCCATTATCAACGCTTTCCACATTTGCAGCTTGTGCATAAATCGCATTGGTGTTTTCCGGGATTGTTCGGAATAGGTTATACCTGAGATACGCCGTTACTCGATATGCTTTCCCACGTTTGGCAAAAGACAGCACAACTTTGCACAGGTCAAGGCCTTTCACGGTTCCCTGATGCTCAGCGATGTGATCAAAGAAAGGGAGGCGCAAATTCGGGAGAAAAAGCACATGGAAACTTTGGAGAAGGCTCGCGACCAGGCGTTTCTTGAGGCACAGACGAAGGCCATTGAGGCGAGCAAAATACTGCACATGCGCTGAACTAAAATGCGCGTTGAGGTGAATCGCGTTAATTCATACTGAAGTGGACTTTTCTGCACACAATCATGTCGCGACGTATGTAAACAATTACGCTGGCTAGTTCTAATGCCGCAGTTGTCAGTTGGCGCAAGCCCTGGCAGGTTTTCTCCGCTCAGGTCAATCACCAGAACATTACAATAAATTTTTTAAGATTGCAAAGTTAGGTTATTGCCGACAAGAATTCGCCACGGGAATGCCGCAGATGGCCGAGGCTGCGGAGCTCGAGAAGTACAGGGAGCAGAAAAGGCGCGCGATGCAGCAGAGGGACGATCAGATGAGGCAACTGGAGGATCTGAAAAAGAAAATCCTGCTGGAGCGGTGGGTTTCGCACACCGGGGAAAGCTCCGGAGAAATGCTCCCTAGAATTTTCGCGAGCATGTCGCGTGGGCACTTAAAAATAGTGGAAAAATTGAGTTAAGGTTATGTCCTGGCAAGGCCTTCACGTTGGCTGTTGTAGTTGCAAAAGCCAGCAGATGTGAGTACTGCCCAAAAGTCCAACTTTTCCCACAATCAGAACACCCAGATGTAGTCGCAACAACCAGCCAGGATGTGTGCTGCTGCCGGAATGTTCACACACAAGTCAACGTGAGGTCGCTAAAAGCGCAACGCATGGAATCCAATGTATATTGGTTTGGTTTTAACCATGGACGTTTGCTATTAGTAAAAGTTCCGAAACAACAATCATCTGCAAGGAGGCGAGTAGGCGCGCCTGAATGCGTTGTCAGCGTCGGCAGACCCTGTCGCCTGCGGAGATCTTGGTTGAAGGCCACTGCTTTCCCGTTTCCGCGCAACATTCAACCATAAGATCAAGTCCATTACCTATTAAGATCTCGATTGTCACTTAGAGAAACGCGCAATTTCATCACTCCATCAGCGCGGGGTTTAGTAGCGCAATCCCTGGCGCAGGGAGGCCAACCGCCGGGAGGGCGAGCAGATCCGTATGCGGGCGCTGGAAGCCGCGGAGGAGATGAGGCGGCAGGAGGAGGCGGCCATGGAGCGCGCCAAGGCGGCCAATAGGGAGACCATGGAATCCAACTGCCTGCTGCAGACCTTCAAGCTGCGAGAGATTGAGAGAGAGAGGGAGGCGGACGCGGCCATCGTCGGTGGGATTCTGAATACATACATATGACACAGTGTGTATCATGGCGACGATGATGTGATACACATTATTACGAGTTACCATAAGCTGCGGCAAAATTGTCAGTAAATTGTCACAGCCTGCGCCCCAGTCACCCCTTGGTTATCGTTGGCCCTTCCGCGAGCCACAGCGTGACTCCTAGTGAAGCGGCGATGTGTTGCTGTAATCAATGTAAGCTGCACTAGCCAAAAAAGGGCCAAATAACACTTTTGTGAGCACATATAAAACCCATTTCATCGAAATTATGCATTTTGACAACAAAAAAATAACCCTAACCCTTAAACTCCACACGTTTGCGCACGTGTTATTTGGCCCTTTTTTCGTAGTGCTCAAAGCGCATTTTCGACTGCAGCCCCAGCTTTATGAGCAGCTTCTTGCATTTTATGATACTCATTGTCATTGCAGTGGCGCTCACTGCAGAATGTGGCAAGAATCCTTTAACGGAAAGTAATTGAAGCCTTTGTTCTAAAATTTCGAAACAATTCAATTTTCAGAATCTCGGAGCAATGAAATTTCAATGCCCTTTGAAGAGCACGTTTCAGTCGAGGTCCCTGTCGGCTCGTTTCTGTTGCAAAGGCGCTGAGCGTAGGCGATGTCCATTGGTTATGGACTTTATTCATCATTTTGGAATTTGCGTAGAGCTGGTGGAAAATGGTCGACAAAATTGACAAAACATGGCTCAGTGTCGTTGGCGCAAAACTGGACAGCACTGCAGCATGGCATTTACGTGGGCATTGGCACAACATTGGCGCGCATATCAAGGCTTGTCGATATTAATGTGTGTCCATGGACATTAGCGTGTCTCGCCATCGCCTTTGGCGTTGCTGAAGCAGAGGCTCATGTAAAAATCTGACATGAATAAGCAGAAAGTAGCTCACAAGGCTGCATCAATATCTAATATAATTTCAAACTGATTCAAACTACGGTGAATAAAAATTTCCGATACATATAACAGTACTTAACCGTATATATTGCATTTGTGCGGCGCCCACTCTTGCAGATGTGCCAAGTTTGAAGGGCAGGATTCTTCAGAGTTCGAAGTACGCATCATGAACCATTGTACTTGGAAATGGCTCAAATATGATCTGTTCACTGTCTGGCTAATGAATAAAGCGCATCAGTAATTCAGTTGCTTGAGCACTTCATGCAGCGTATTCTAACAAAAAGGCCGAGAAATTGGCGAAGCAGCAGCAAAGGGCGGCGGAAAAGGCTGCCGCAAGAGATGCCGAAAAGCAGAGAATGGTCAAGATAATGGAGGACATTTTCTTGAAGGAAAAGACAGCTGCTGAAAACAGAGTGAAAAAGGGCATAAGAGACGCCGAAAAGAAGCAAAAGGTACCCATATCAATGCCCTGACTGTGGCGAAATATTTTAGCTGTGATTCACTGAATCGATAGAGCTAGAGACGTTCTTTTTCCTTCTTGTTTCTCCAGATCTCCTTTTACCAGATATCTCCGAAAATGCGTGAGAATTGCGCGTTGGCACGGGCAGACGATCAAGATGATTTGCATTATGATGGAGCAGAGCATTGGTGCAGGATTTGAGCGGCTTCTCTCATAGCATAATAGCGATGAAAGATAAGCATCATGTTGCATGGCTCCCCGCGGAACTTCGTTGAAACCAAGGAACCGCTGATTGATTCCCAAATATCAACCAGCTGTTCCCTCGTTTTCACAACTCCCTATACGTTGCCTGCTGCGTGGCTTTTTCTTGGCCTCCACGTGCTCCATTCGGTACCCACCCCAACGCCAGCCCGCACTCAACACTAGGAGAAAAAGGGCCAAATAACACGCTTTCAAACGTGTACAAAGTTTACGGGTTGTGTTACTTTTGCGTTCTTAATGCGCATAACTTTGATGAAATGTGTTTTATGTGTGTTCGCAAAAGTGTCATTTGGCCTTTTGTTCCCAGCGCAATTTACGCATTCGGTGAATTCAGTAGGAATGAATTTCTGGACGTAAACCATTCTGAATCGGCGAACAGGAAAAGATGACTGAGAAGGAGAACATATTGAAAGAGGAGCTCGCAGCGATCGACAGAAGCCGAAAGCAGCAATTGAGGCTGAAGAAAGAAGATCAAGAAAGACAAAAGCAGGAGGGGCTGGAGATGGTTGAGGTGACGCCGGGACTTGGACTCATATCGCTAGCAGAAAGCACCATAGTTGGGATGCCAACTGCAACGCCATTTTGACATCAATGGGCCCCACCACAGTGATTGAGATGGCACAAACATGGCTGTGTTGGCATAGATTAGTGTCAAATGGCATCGCAATAGTGTCGTTATTCTACTGGTGTATGCCACGAGCTTAAGGCTTGTTTGTGCGCTTGCGCATCAGTGCTGCAAACAGGCGGCGTGTGTTACGGGCGTTGACATGCATGTACATGTATCTACGCGCAATTACGTGCGAATCCATAAAGATACACTGGCTTGTGCACCAGCAGAAACCGAAATTCTTGCCATGCCAATTGCGATGGCATTTGACACTAATTGATGCAATCGCACCCATTTTTGCGCATCGCAATCACTGATATGGCACAGCTTTGTGTCGCAATGGCATCACAATTGGCATCGCAAAGATGATATTTCCTGATAGTGCTGAATATGCGTCAATGTAAAAAAGTTCTCAGGTAAGCAACAATCCTGGTCATTGCGCATTCATCTGCAATACATCAGGGCTCCTAACACTTCGTGCCTTCCCGCCATATTAGAATGAAACGAATTTTCCTTTCGTATATAAAACCCTAGGATCTGTAATCAATGTATGGCTTCGCTGAGGCATTCAAAGTGAGGAAGAAGTGACATGTCCCATGTCCAATTGCCTTCAATGGTCAGGTCAACGTCTTCAGAAATCGTTTCGAGGAGCTCACAATTCCCTTAACTGGCGCATTCAAAGCCAATTGGCGCCGCCGAAAAGAGTGACTTCGCACTCCAAGTCTTGGCAAGCTGAGCACTCAATTCCGGAAACATGCAGCGCAAAGTAATAGCAACAAAGGATGTGCCGCAAAATGCAATTGTCCGCTTGCGGAACGCGCTCTGCGGCGCTGTGCAGGCGTGGAAACTCCGAACGAAGCAGGTGGAAGAAATGGCGCGACAAGAGGAGGAGGAGCGGATGGAGGAGAACAAACGTAACCAATGCTACTTGAAGCACCAGATGCAGATCAGGGAGCGCCAGGCGGCCGCTGCGAAGCTGGAGGAACGCGAGATCGCGGGCATGCTGCTGGACAACGTGGAAGATGGCGAAAGGAGGTTCAAAGAGTACGCCACGGCGTGCGTCGACGAATGGGGCAGACGCAGGCAGACGACGGAGCCCATGGCGCTGTACATGGCCAAAACGGAGAGCCCCAGGCTCGATCCGGCGATCTGACTCAATGGATGAGCGGTGACTGGGGCCGAATTTGGATTCGTGTGACCTACGAATACGCAGGTCCAGTGTTGTCGGAAGATGAGACGGGCTACCCCGCTGATATCCCAAGTCGGCGACGCGTTGGCATTTTGGATGGCAATTGCTGAAGGACAATTTTCTCGGGAAGCTCCCCAGGCTGGCGCATGCGGTTCTCGTGCACAGAATCCCACATATGGGATCCCATATCCCGTATATACGGATGTGCTCATAACGGTTCGCAGCTGATCGATATGTCCTCGTGGTCCGTTTTGCGACAAGTGGTAAACAGCCCTGCCCTTTGCTGTAATACGCTTTACTGAAAGGATGTCGTAGACTTCTGGGCATGAACTGCAAGAATAGCGGTATTGCGCCATTGCGGCCACCAGAATCCTGACGTGCTGCGCACATTCTCTTCTGGGCGCCAGTGGCATCAAGAGGGAAACGGGGACCACTGTTAAATGAATTTGAGGGCGTCAATGCGCAGGAACACATCACGGCATTGGAAAAACATGGTGCAAATTTTGGAATGCCGAACCGCTCATCCTCGCAACATCCAGAATGCAGAACCAGTGGACAACAGAGCGAACGAGTTATGTAAAGGTTGCAACTGGGGCCCGACCCTGCGCTGGCCGTCGACCGCTTCAACACCAACCGATCAGCTCCAATCCGTCGGCCACCTTCACTGGCTGCCTTTGCCAGCCCCTCGATTCCCCGTTGCGCATCCTTCCGCTCGGGCGAGATCACCGGGCGATTCTGCATCATCTTTTCACGGCATGGAAAACGAGTCTGGCATGCACTTGCCCTGGAGGGGGTGCCCCATGCATGGCTTGTTTCTCTTTCTCTCTGTAGCACATCATGGCTTCGGCGAGATCAATGACCAGCGCGACGGGAGAACTCAACTGGCTCGGCTCGGTTGGACACAGGAACAGGATGACGTGCCGTTGGAAATGCAGCAGGGCGGATGGCCGAAGTTGTGTCCGGGGTGGTTTCTGCAGATGCGAGGAAGGGGGACGAGGAAGGATGGTCGCGCGTGCCGCTGTGTCAGAGGAAGGGTGAGTTGAAGAGCAGCGGGGCGGGGGGGGAGGTGGGGAGGATAGTGAAGGAGAGGTAGGGGAAGGGTGCAGTCCCCTTTAGGAGGAACGGAAACCGAGGGGAGGCGAGAGTACATTGCTTCCCCAGTCCTGTTGACGAAACACTAGTTTCTGTTGTTGTTTTGGTTTGGAGGTTTAGGCACACCAACTGACTAACTGATAGGGTGGGATGACTGGAAGGATCGGGCGAGTCGTTGGATGGCATGGGGGCATGTGCCATGGTTTGCCGCGCAAGGGTGTGTCGTTGTGCTTTCTTTTAGAACAGGGAACATTGTTATGTGTTGGAAGCACTCATTTACTGGCAAGAATGTAATTGGCTCTTTTCGCAGAACAGCCCTGCTGGTGCATGTTTCTGCATTTGGTCGTTGCTGTTCAGCTTACGTACAATGTGCAGATCAGAAAATATCTTGCCTTCATCCCTACCAGTACTCCAATTGTGTCTGCCGGGCGCAAAACCATTCCCCTGAATGGCGCTACCGCTGTCCTGGTTGATGTTTGTGTATGTCCGCTGATTTCAATTGCCCAATGAGATTGAGGTAGCCCAGCACGTAAGACCACGGAGGGCTGAACATGGGCTGCTGCAGGGCTGATGGACGACCTAAAACCTGTTTAAGACGAGCTGAGTTGGTTGTGCCATGAGGAGTGGAAGTGAAAGAAATGGTGAGAATTCACGTTCCCCAATATTATTATTTTAATTCCAAAATGTTCCATCACAGTCCAGGTCCCCGTTTTTGTGGTCATATTGGTAGTCCTCCAGGAAGCCCTGGGCTTCCTTAGCAATTTGGGATTTATCAACCAGTTGCATCTGTACAAGCACTAAAGACAGGAGCTGAGCAGAACTGTTGTTCATTATATTCTAAAGGTAGTGGCACATTATGCATTCAATGCTTGAGGAAGAAGATAATGGCGCATCAACACTAAAACTTGCCAAGCGCTGTGTCTGATTCATATGCCGTTAATTCCACCTGGATCAATGTGCCATGGTGTATGACAAAAGGGGCATCACTGACCTTGCCCTCCATTGAGGCGATTCTCAGATGTCCATCATCTGTGCATCGTAAGTGGTGCAGGCGAATGGAGAGCATATTTCAGTTCATGAAAGCGCGGCCACAGCTGACTTTCTGGTGTGCCTGTTCATGTCTGCCAGGGTTGCAAGCAGTTGGATTCGTCATGGCTGTGAGCACAGCTGCAATGCGGATACAGAAACTCGCATCGAAGGAAGCAACCCTGAGACGTCGACATGTTGCAAGGTGAATTCTGTTAAAATCATTTCTTATCACATTTTCGTTTCGTGTTTGGATTCAACAATTCAAGTTCCAAAGAATTATCCTTGCGTTCTGCTTGAAACTATGTCGACAGGATATTGGTCAGGACATAATTCTTTCCCTTGCACGAGGGTGCGAGTCAGGACAAGTCCCGCGCTGGATGCGACATCATTCTTGCCAGCATCAACAAGCTGTTTTCACCATCTCCTGTCGGCCGTCCTGTCATCTCTTTGACAAGCTTCAACACGGCTGCCGCACGCCCCGGGCGCGCACCGTCCAAAGCACACCCTGATTCCGTGGTGCGCGGCGCAACAGGATTGAAAGCCACCGTGATTCTCACCTCGAGCACGGAGTGCCCAATCCGCCAGCACACAGACCTGCGACACTGCGCGGAGCGTCCACTGCGCTCCGCACATCCCCAGCAAGCTTTGCGCCCGTAGAAAAACGCCCCCCCGTGTCCTTCCACAACCCCGGCGCTCAACCACGAGGGCTCGCCGCCTCCGCTGCTGCAAAAGCCCTCGGCCGCCACGGGCCCTCCTCGCCACATCCCCTATCCTTGCCTCTTGGCCGATGGCCCCCCGCTGATGTCCTCGATGCGCTGCTCGGGCGCATCCCCGCCCGCGGATCCCCCGCGCCACATCTGGATTACTAAACATTGCAGGCTCTACACTATTGTTACCCAGAAACCGACACTGTTCATCATGCTTCACCCCTCGAGATTGCCCTAATTGTGGACATTAAGCCCATCTTACATTGCAGGTATTCGAGCCAGATGTTGGAGCAAGTGGGTGCTCAGCAGTTCAGGAGACATTGCCTGTTGGTGGAGCTGTTGCAGTGCTGCTGCTCTGTTGATGCCCTTCTATCTCATATCGCCAGCTCAGCCAGTCTCTGTTCCTTGCACCTCCCCACCTTTTTCTCTCTTGTTTCTCTACACTCACACACAGCAGCTCCCTCTCTCCTCTCTTAGAGCAGGGACCTCCGCCGCGCTGTGGCGAGCCCTGGTTGCAAAACAACAGCCCGGCCAATCCTTGGCCAATTTTTCCTTTCTGATCGCAGCCGTGCGTCCCTGGCGTAGATCTCGGCAGCCCGCCCCGGTCGAGCCCGCCCCGACCCTGCGCGTGCCGAATCGCGCGCCCCGGCGCGATGAACGTCATCCTCGATCTGGACGGCACGTTGATTGACGCGCAGAGCCCCGCGGGCGCGCGGGCGGCGCTTGCCGTAGGCGGCCCCGCGCCCAAGCACGTGTGCGGGCCGGGGCTGGG